GCCGAACTCGATGCCGAAGTCTTCTTCTTCGACTGCCTTGTCAGGAAGTCCATGCGGCTGGCCATTTTTCGATCTCTCAAGGAGCTCGGATGTGCGCGTGCGTACTTGCTCGCCTCCTTCACCGAACCGAACCCACACTCGCGATGGAGGGGATAGTATACTGCCAAACGCAAGGAGGAGAATAAACATAAAAACAACTATACGTGAGAACAATCAAAGTGAAGGAGAAATACCGGGCTCGAAGTGCTTGCTGTTGTATTCGGGGCACAGGTCGTGCTGGAGTAGGCTCTCCTCCGCAACGGAATTTCGGTAGTTGCGCTTCTCTACGGCAAGCCCGAGCAGAGTTTCGATCTTCGCAACCAGCTCGTCACTCGGCTCAATGTGGGGGTTGTGGACTGAAAGGCAAACACCGACCTGTTAGCATAGAAAAACCGTAAATCAGAAGGGTGAAAGCAGGATAAATAAAACACTTACAAGGGCCAGAAATAAATTCGGTGGAAGGGTGCCGAGCCGCGTTGTGCGTCTTCCATTCACCACCAACCCAGAACCACTCCGGCATATAGCCGTGCAGCGATTCCGGGACCTTATGGATCAACGACTTGTCCACGCCCGGGGCGACGGAGTTGTAGTAATTGCCGGTCTCCCCGAACTTCTTGAAGACAAACAGAGATCCCACGTCGGCACTTGTGGGATCCGGCCACCCTTGCTGGCGGAACAGGACGATAAGGCCGATGAGCCGAGCAAAGACCGTTGGAACGAGCTGGCTAATGCCGATGCCGAGGTTACTAAGGATGTCGTTCAAAGCTCCCGGCAGCGGAAATCGGAGTCCGAGCAGGATACTCGACCGATAAACGCCAATGCAACCCGGCGGCGGACAGTGTATACGCTCGCCCGCATAAGGGGCGAAAATTCTCACCCCGGCGCCAAAGCTGGCCTTGCCCCTCAGCTTGGCCAGATCGAGATCCGTCAGCACCGAAGGGGTCGTCCACGCAGTAGCCGAAGCGGTAGAAGGCCATACCCGCGGAGGTCGGCACCAACATCCCAGAGGAGCCGTGGTGGCGGCTTCGACTGCGGCGTCAGTTTCGGTGTCCGCGCGGCCCATAGGGACCCGCTCTCGTCCATGAGTGTCGCCCCGAAGGGTCTCCTCGACCAGTTCGGCGTCGACGTCGGATTCAACAGGGGAAACGGAGCCGGTTTCCTTCTCGACCTCCTCGGTGTCAGACTGGCCTGACCCGAGGTCAATTATCTCGATCATGGGGAAGGCCGAACGTTCCCCGCGGGGCGGCCCCGTCGCCGCCGCCACCGGCGTCACACGGACGGCGGAGATTGGAGTAACTCGGAGCGGCAGCATCGCCCCAGTCGTCGGGGGAGAGTAGACCACCAACTCTCCGGTCTCCTCCGCCGTGAAACCGCCATCTCCGGCGGGAAGGTTCGTAGCAGGCCCGGAAGAACTCGACATAATCGAAATTAAACAGGAAGGTTTCGAGAAAAATAGAATTACCGGTGTAGAGATCTCCAAGAAGCTCGCGAAATCCTCGAAAGTCGCTCTGAAATCTTGCTCGGAAATATGACTGCTCAGAAGATTTGATTGCTCGAAAATCTCGAAAACTCGTAAAAGCTTCCCAAGGAAGGCGACGGAATATATATACATACGGAGAACCAATCACAACGTTACACGTGGCGCAGCATTTAAAATTCGAAATTAAGGACACGATCCAACGGTGGGGGGCGAAACGATCCGACGGTTTAGGAACGGCCGCGTGAAAGCCACGCGCCCCAAAAAGTCACCGCTTCGACGAAGCGACACGACGTTTGGAGAACGCCAATAAATGGGCGACACGTGTAAACGCTCTGAACCGGCACGCCTTTTCGTAACCGACAGGAAGCACAACGGTCACAACGCATTAAATGGGACGTCAATTCAGATCAGAAGATAACAGGCAAATTGTGGTTGTGATTTGCTCAAGTCCAGGTCATGTGCCGACCCCAAATGTATTCTAAGGATGACGGCCTCACAGAGGATGCCGAAGCACATCCTCTCCGAGCCCGGGGGCCTATATGTTGACATCCGAGTTCGCCCATGAGACTGAACCGGACCACACAATTCCGAGAGCCGAACCAGAGATCCGGTCCACCCATAGAGTGCCGAGCTGGACCGAAAAACTTTTTGACCCTGGCATCGCCGTGAGACCATTCGTCAGTTCGGTATTTTCGATTACGACGCCACGGGTGCCGGGCTGAAAAATGACGGACTGAAAGAAAGATTCCCCAGGACCAGGGGAACAGATGAAGGTAAGATGCCGAGGTGCCGACTTGGGGTCCCAGAGCGGGCCTCTACAACGGAGAATGCCGATCTCTATAATGGTATAATAATGCCACTTGGAGGGCAATCATTGGCTAAATGGATGGGACATCATAGCCTGCAGACCTACTCCTCTTAGCTAAGACATAAAGCCTATCAGCATTAAATGCCTGTCACCTAATGATGAGGAAAACCTCAAATCGCATTTAATGCTGTCAGGGAGGCGCCGGACTGTCCTGCAGGAACACTGTACGACAAGACTGATGAACAGTACCTGAACAGTGTCACATTTAAGGCTACTATAAATAGCAACCCTTCTCATTTATTTTGGGTTGTTGAATCTCAACTGTAAAAGCTATCTCTCTCTACTTTCTCTCTCTAAAACTCGTGTGATTACTCTGTAACAATTTGTAAGGATATTGCAAGTGCCGACCTCGTACGAGAGGCCGACCTAGCGATCTGTCAATAAAACTGCAATTAAATCATATTTCCTTGTCTTTACATCGTTTCTTTTCCATTATTTACCTTGTTAACCGTTGACCGGAAACGCCCGTCAACACCCATATATCAATACCATTAAATTCAGTTAAAACTGAATAATCCGAATCAGCCTTTATGACTTAGGCAGCCTACAAATTTGAGAATCTAATTTGAAATACAAATTGGAATTTGATATCTCCTAAAATAAAGGAATTTGTTGATTCCTCATAATACAATGCATATCAAAATATGGATTTTACATATTTTATACGCACGTGCAGACTGATAGAATAAATAAAAGCATTTTATCATTGTTTACTTAATTACTTATCTTCTTTTTAATGTTTTCTAATTTAGTCATTGTCTAACGTTAATCTAGACTATCACTACCACTATATACGTAACAACATTAATACATAACATTCCATTCATATAAAAAAAATAATATACAACAAATATAACTATTCACATCCATCCATTCATCCATCGACGAAAAAAATAAAAGACAACAAATTCAGTCGATTTTACTTATAAAGCAATAATCTAAATCTATATGCATATATATTATATATATATATATATATATAATAAGAATTACCATTTATCAAAAATAGTAGCAAAAAAATAGGTCAGAATTTAATGCAACCTATAAATAGTAAGTTTTGTTATTTTTTTTAAAAAATCATACATCATTAAATGTTACCTTAAATTTTGGGATTTAGTTCATTCTATTATTTAAAAAATTCGGCTAAAAGTTATTAAGTGTGTATGTTTTATTTTTATTTTTTTTCTTAGAAACAACGAACAACATTAAAATCTCGGTCTCTATATTTATAAAATTTCAATTCAACATATAACAAAAGTTTTAGAATCTCGGTCTTTATATTTGTGCCTTTAAAAAAAAATATTGAACGCTAAAAATATTCTTTAAATTGCATCATCAATAAATTAATCTTAATTTTTTGAAAATTACTATGTTTATTTTTTATTAATATGAATAAAGTACAAATAATTAATTCATCTTTAGATATATAATTTATAATCTTAATATACCATCATTTGGTGTAGACATTTATTATATGAATCATAAAATATTTTTATTTCATAAAATTAAATATATTTAAAGAAAATAAGAAAAATTCTTCAGATCAATCGCGTGATTGAACTAGGGTACTGTCTAGATTAATTGAATTACTTTTAGGTGATATTTAAAATAGTCAAAAAATTTAACACAACTTGGTTGGTCCCAGGTGACTAAGTATGTATCAGTTCGACCACACAAAATCGATTATTGAGCCAGGTGACTAAGTATGTATCAGTTCGACCACACAAAATCGATTATTGAGCCTAAATATAAATTTTATATTGAAAATATTTTATTACGTGAAAGTGATGAAGTCCAAACTTCAAATTGTCGTATTAACAATACTTTTATGACAACATGTTTAATGATTTATGAATATTTATATATCATTTTATTAATATTTATGTGAATTAAATAATATATTTTATTATAATATTTATTAATATACATTAAATATAAGGTTTTTAGAACTGGACCGCCATCGAAATGATCAAGCTATTTTATTAAACCATTTGTGGTTTGTTCAGATTTTAATTTGTAAACATTTTATTATATATGTATATATATAGTACTTTTTGTAATAAATTTAAATAAAATGTATTACTTAGATGTCTAAACAATTTATAAATTCAAATGTTTAAACTAATTGATAAATAATTTATAAATCTCTATTTTATTTAAATATGTAATTTTATTTAAAATAATTTTAAATATAACAAAATTTATTTAGAAAATCGTATCGATCCTACCAGTCCAACCGACTGGTGTTGACGGATTTGAGAGCAAATATTTTATTCAAGCGAACTAGACTGGTTATAAACCGGTTCTCGATCCATCCGGTCAGATTGTGTCCAACCGAATTTAATTTAGAAACAATGGATAAATCATGATTAATGTTATTTATATATTTAATTTATAATACAATCGTAATATTGTTTTTCGTGCATCGCACGGGCTATGCACTAGTTTTGAGAAACAATTAAATGAACAAGTTCAAACAAAATTTTTTGCTCGAAAAACACTAATCGTTCGTAAACAAACACGAACTCAAAAAAAAAAAAAAATATTTTATCAAAATAAAAAAATTATATTAAATTAATATTCGCGAATATTATCAAACATTCGTGTTCCCATTATTAAACGGGCCTGATTCGAGGTCGATCAACAAATGAACGAGCTCGAACGATCAACCCGATTTGCAGCAATTGGAATGCATACCACTGACTGAGACAAAGTGAAGGAAGCCACACTCGACGGACAAATTGCGCTTCCCACCGTAGCGGCGGCGGCGGAGGCCTGACGACGTCTTATCTTCTACCTCGTTTCGGTTGGTGTAGCTAATTATGCGAGGTAAAGTGTTTCGCTGTTTATGTAAGAAAATTGATTATTTTTTTTTTGGGTGAATAGGGTTTCTGCTGCTGCTCTTCCTCTCTCGTCTTGTTGATCATGGATTTGGAAGCTAATTACGAAATAGCTCGCGTGGCAGAATTCATTCTTAGCCGTAACTTCACTAGAGTAGCTCTGCAGGTAGCAGTCTTTTGTGTGTGTGTGTGTGTGTGTGTGTGTGTTGAACGGTATTTTGTTGTTGCATTTTGCTCAAACAGTATTTGATTATTTTTCTCATTTGGTTGTTTCAATTAGTTCCCTGATGAACTACTGAAAGATTCTATGAGGGTTGTGAAAGCTTTGCGCCAAGAGCTCGAATCTCATGTGAAATTATATGTAATGGCTGACACAACATACGGAAGCTGTTGCGTAGATGAAGTTGGAGCAGCTCATGTCAATGCCAATTGTGTCGTTCATTATGGGCATACGTGCCTCAGCCCGTGAGTACTACATTGTTCATCTCTAGTTTTAGAAGTTACCGAGACGAAAAAATTTAGATGAATTGATTTCGTAACCTTTATTTTCCTTTCTAAATTTTTTCTTGGAAGGTAGTCATGAAATTTCTAGAGGGTTGAATTTGTAAGTGCAAATTGATCTAAGTGAGCCCTTGCAACAATTTTATTTCATGTTTGGTTACAGTTTATGCTGGATATCATAGACCCAGAGCAGCATTGCCTTTACATCTTTGTACAACAGTTGGGGATGCATCTTGCTTTTATTTTGAGCTTTCTGAAGCTAATAATTATGAGGCCGTGTGTCATGTAGATTATGTAATATTCTTTATGGTCTTTTTTTGTCAGGACATCAACACTACCTGCGTTGTTCATTTTTCGAAAAGCTTCAGTCGTCACATCAAATTGTGCCAGAACTTTACTTGATCACGGGTTGAAAAGTGGGAAGCCTATTTTGGTATGACAACATGGTCCTTTTTGCTCTCCGACTCTATAATATAGTTTAGCATTTAATTTATCAATTATCTGAATCTCTCGTGCATTTCATTTCTCAGTCACAATAAGCATTTGCTGATATTTGCAAAGATAAGCTTGTAGCTGCACACTCGGTTGTTTCAACCTGTTGGGCTATTATCTAAACCAGCAGTTATGCTCAGAATTACGAGTAAATAAAATAAGCAACCAACTCGATATTTTTCTTCTTCTTGAACCAACTCTGCAGTCTTTTCACATTAGCAGTTCTTAACTGCTTTTACCATAGGTCAACTTGTCCATTCCAAATTTTCATTTAGTTTATGCCCTTAACTACTATATATTTAGCAAAAGACTCTGGGGGTCTAGTTTCACTATATTAATTTCTCATCAAGAAGGTTCATACAATCACTTTTCTAAAGCATAATATCTAAGTATGAGTTGGTCCGAAATGCATGTCTGAAAACTTATGTCCAATTTTAACACCTCAAAATGTTAATAGCCAACTTGAAGGCATTTGCTATATGAATGGAGCTTTAATAAATTGATAGCAAACCTCCAATGGAAGATAAATTCATCTGTCCGCCAAGAGGAGTGCAGTCCTAATCAGTGACTTAGTGAATGAGCTACTACATTGTCACTAAATGCGCTTTTGAATGCTTCATTAGTTCAAGATGCATTGTCTTATTATGGATGCAAATTTTCAGTCTCAAAATTGTAGATTTTAATTTGTTGTCAGTTGCTTATGTTACACATATCTAGGTTCTTTATGGACTGGAATATGCACATGCCATATCCGAAATAAAAAAATTGTCCTCGTCTAGTGCTTCAAGTGCACATGGATCTACAACCATCTTAGAGCACTTATATGCTGATGCAAACTCTTCAGTTATAAGCCCGTGTGAAGAATGTGGGGTTTCAAATAAATGCGAAACTGAAACCGAAGAAACTGGTCAAAATTACAACTTTGGTGGTTTGAGTTGGAGATTACCCCAGGGACGGAAAATGGAGGATTATTTACTTTTCTGGATTGGCTCGGAAGATACAGCATTTGCTAATGTTGTGCTGACATTCAATAGCTGTGAAATAGGTAAATTTTTTATGATATTTTTGCATAAATATCAAGTTGATAAGGAAGAAATAATATCTGTATAGCTTAGAGATGTGTTGACGCAGGGGTCAGGCCTCGGGTCTACCTTCTGCAGCACCCCATCTGGTTGGTGACCCAGAAATATTATAATTTTTTTAATCAATGTTGCGTCAACCTTGATATAGGCAGGACACGAGCTTTGAACAAACTTACCCATCTAAAAACAAATTTATGCTGCATGTATGCTACTTCCCTTTTTTTATTATAATTATGTAATAAAAAGGTTTGCCTTGTCTGTCTTGTTTTTAGTCAGATATGATGCAGCAGGAGATTGCTTGATTAATGACTTATCTCAATCGAAAAAAATCCTTAGGCGCAGGTGCTAGTCGTACACTTCTTCGTGCTGATTGCAACTTCTGTTATTACTATTGCTATTCCCTTTTCCTTTCAGATATTGTCTGCAATGTGATAATAGTCATGAACTTCACAGGTATTACCTAGTTGAGAAAGCAAAGGATGCCAACATGATCGGAATCTTGGTTGGGACACTTGGTGCAGGTTACCTTTCTGTAAAATTCATCAGCTACATTTGTGATTTGTTTATGAATGATGCAGTTGAAATGAGGAGAAGTTAACTTTGAAGTGTCTCATCGTGTTCTTTTAGTTTTGCAATAATCCTTGGGTTCAACCCCCTTTTTTCTCCTTAGGCACTTAAAAGCAGTGGAAATTGCTGGTTTTATACATTTTATAATAGGTGAAATTGCATGGTGAAAAAGTGCAAGATGTAAACAGTAGTTGGTTAATTAATTAGTTCATCCTTGACAGGCACCTTAAACAATTTTATTTGTAATGAATAGAGGTGACCTAGGAGCAAACTTATTAGTAATACTTTAAAATTTGCTCCTCAATTTAGTTCTACCAGTACATTAAATCACCAAAAGTTGCATTTACAAGAGATGGGGGTATTACCCATCGAAGTTGGTCATTGACCTTGTGCTCGTGATAAATAACTGTACCTTTGTCTAATTTTGAATGTTCAGAATGTCATAAATACACGAACATGTTGCTCTTACATTTCATTTTTTCTATGTACTGATGTACTGATTCTTTTTGTCGATGACACACCCCAGAAGGCTAAAGTTTTTTCCTTCCAAAATGCTCTTTCAGCTGGTTATCTTGACATGATCAATAGAATGAGGAAACTGATAACAAAAGCTGGGAAAAAGTCGTACACATTTGTTATGGGAAGGCCAAATCCTGCAAAACTTGCTAATTTTCCTGAGGTAAATATTATTAACTTCGAAAATATTGTTTTCTTACGTTTTTACCTATGACCATAATACTTATCTCTAATGTTTTTGGTTGCAGTGCGATGTTTTTATCAATGTATCTTGTCCACAAACTGCTCTACTGGATAGTAAGGAGTTCTTAGCTCCTATAATTACTCCATTTGAAGCCATGCTTGCTTTGGTCAGGTATTAGTTTGAATGGTTCTAGTCATTAACTAGTTTGGATGCTTCAGAACCTGTTGTTGATCTGGTTGTACTTGGCTGTTAATGCTTCTGACCTTGAGCTAATTAGGTAGCTTATTTTGTTTGTAACTTCCCGACATCTGGGGCTTTTGAGTTCATGGTTAAGGATAATCTATAGGTAGGTATGGGAAAATATTTTTTTGAGTTTACATATAATTAGAAAAAACCAAGCTATTTCAAATTGCTAATACTGGTTTTGGCTGCGTTATTCCACCACTGCAGCATCAACAAATTAAAGTAGCACTTCATATAGAAGATTACTAAATACTTATGTCCCAAAAAGACATGCCACATTACTGTTTTGAGTGCCCCACAAAGATATGAATGTTACTTAAATAGGCTATTTTATAATGTTACATTTTTCGCTAATTTAATTTATGTGGCTACCAGCAAAATTAGGTTGAATAATAATAATAACAACAACAACAACAACAACAATAATAATAATAATAATAATGATAATAATAATAATAACAATAACAACAACAATAATAATATATAATAATAATAATAACAACAATAACAATAATAATTATAATAATAATTTATAGGGTATATTCCGGAAGTACATTTTACTTCTCATCAATAATGATTGTGTTTTCTTAAACTATGACAAAATCAATAAGCCTATCTTGTGGGACGAGGGGAGTATGATCTTCCGATGTATCTAGTATGTTTTAAATTTTTTCCGTGAAGGTAACTGATAGAGATGCCAAAAATAGGGTTGAAAAGCAATGGGTTGTCTACTCAAGGAAAGGGAAAGCTGGAAAGGAATAAATGAGATATGGGAATAAAATCAGCAATGCAATATAGGAAGCATGAATTAGGGGATTTAGATAGATTCCTGGAGAGAATGGAAAGCTATCAATTAGTTATCGTACCTTATAATTATTATCTATTACCTTTTGAATAATAGCAATAATCTTATTAAAGGGAGTTAGGAAGTGAGAATGAGACATCAGGAAGAAATAATCTTAATAGCTAGGCTATTGGGCCAGTTATCTTGCTGAGTTTTATACTTATGATCATTGTTCTCTCTTTCATTTATAATAAAGTTGTCTATTCATTATTCTCTGATTCTCTTATCCTTTACTCCTATCAATTGGTCCGACCTGCCACTACGAATGACGCGCATGGACTCTCGAGTTGAAGCCACGGAGAAGGGTCAGGAAGTGCACGAGCAACGCCTCATTAATGTCGAGGAGGCCATCTCCAAACTTACCGACTTGGTCACCCAATACAGTGAAGGGAGCGACACCTCCCAAGTCGATCACATCAACATTACTAAACCACAGGATGTTCACCTGCCTACTAAACGAACTGAGATTCCATATTTTGATGGAACCGATCCGCTTGGCTGGTTGTCTAGGGCTGAACAATATTTTACCATCCACAGCACGTGAGACGAGTTACGAGTTCCCACTGCTTTTGTTAGCATGGAAGGGCCTGCCCTTCATTGGATGAGATGGCTACAACAACAACATCCCATGCTGACATGGTCGCAACTCATATCTGAACTAATGGAGCAATTTGGTGGCGATTTGTCTGCCCCACCAACTCAGTTGTTACCTGCTCTCCGTCAGGTTGGTACGATGGATGAATATTGCAATGAGTTTCATGTCCGGGCTGCCCATATCTCTGGGATACCCTCTCATATCCAGTTAGAGTTGTTTCTGAATGGGCTAAAGGAAGAGCTCCGAGTTCGTTTTCGCCCAAATGATGCTACTGATTTACGGATAGCAATGTGAGTTGCACGCTTCATTGCTCGCGAGCTCGATTTCCTGCACCATGACAAACATGTTATTAAATCTACAGGAGTGAAGAGGTGGAGTACGGGTTTCGGTTTGGGTTGGACTCCAAGCCCAACGTCCGCCAATGCAAACTTGTCTAGTCCAAACACACATCATCAGACCAACCACGCCACTCCTACGCCCAGCAATTTCCATAAAACCACAAAGGGAAATATTCTTATGCCACCTTCTCAAACTCCAGGTGCCGGTATATCTTTCCAGCGAGATTCGGCTCCTTCAATTGATCAAAAGGGTATTCGACGTTATTCTCATCAGGAATACCAGGACCTGCGTGCGAAAGGACTTTGTTTCCGATGCAAACAACCCTACAGCCCGATGCATGTTTGTCCAAATAAATCATTGCGAGCTTTAATCGCAGCATAAGATGAGGACAGTAACACCGACGACCCACCTGGGGTATATACCATGGATGATGCCCCATTACACGTTTTGGACCTGCCCCTCTCTTCCACTGGTGGTATCGACCGTCCCCAAACAATGAAATTTCGCGGCCGGGTGGAGCACAATGATGTGGTTATTATGATTGATAGCGGGGCAAGCCATAATTTTATCTCATCTGACTTGGCAGCCAAACTCAAACAGCCGTTGGAGGCCACAACCCGTTTTGGTGTTCGCTTGGGCGATGGACGCCGGTCTGAATCCTCTGGTAAATTTTCCACAGTTCACTTGGGGCCTCTTACAATGACCATTGATTGCTTTGCTTTTCCCTTGGGTGCTGTTGATTTAATTCTTGGGGTTACTTGGCTCGCCTGACAGTGGAATTTGAAGATCATGGCCAGTGCATCACTTTGACTGGAGACCCTACTCTTTCTCGCCTCCCAATCTCCTTTAACTCTGTCGAATATTTGGAAGATGTTGAGTATTCTGTCATCTTTATGGAAATATCTTCATTTCAGCTCAACACCTCCGCCATCATTGCCCTTCCTGGGCCCCAATCAGCTCAATTGGAAGAGCTACTCAATGATTACTCGCAAGTCTTTGGTGAACCCAAGGGACTGCCACCGGTTTGACATAATGACCACAAGATTATTCTACAACCGGGCACAACACCTGTTAGCGTTAAGCCGTATCGATATGGCCACACTCAAAAGGACAAAATTGAAAGATTGGTAGGTGAAATGCTTGCAGCGGGTGTCATTCAACCTAGTGTCAGCCCTTTCTCCAACCCGATTTTACTCGTGAAGAAAAAAGATGGTAGCTGGCGTTTTTGCGTAGATTACCGTGAGTTAAACAAAGCTACAATTGCGAATAAATACCCCATTCCAGTTATCCAAGAGATGCTCGACGAACTACATGGCTCCATATATTTCTCCAAGATCGATTTTCGGTCCGGATACCATCAAATTCGAGTAGTGCCAGAAGACATTTCAATGACTGCCTTCCGTACACATTCCGGCCACTATGAATTCCTCGTCATGCCTTTCGGTCTCACCAATGCTCCTGCTACTTTTCAAGCCACTATGAATGACATATTTCGCCCTCATTTGCGTCATTTTGTGTTGGTTTTCTTTGACGACATTTTAATCTACAGCCCGAGCTGGGAGGAACACCTTAAACATTTATCAGTGGTTTTGAATATCTTACAGTTTCATCAGTTCAAAGCTAATCCGAAGAAATGTCAATTTGGTCAGTCTTCAGTGGACACATCGTTTCTCATGCCGGGGTGGCTACGGACCCCGCCAAAGTCTCCAGCGTCCTTCGTTGGCTGGTACCTCGATCCTTTGGATTTTTGGGATTAACTGGCTATTACCGTTGATTTATCGGCACTATGGCTCAATTGCCAATCCTTTCACCACACTCTTAAAGAAGGACTGTGTGACTACGTTCTTATGGCCCGAGGCAGCACAATCTGCTTTTGATGCTCTGAAGAATGCCGTCACCACTTCCCCAGTCTTGGCCATGCCAGTCTTCTCAAGACCATTTATTATTGAATGCGATGCATCCGGAACTGGGGTAGGAGCCGTTCTGCTGCAAGAACGTCGCCCCATTGCCTTCTTCAGCAAGGCCCTCTCTGGGAAGACTTTATCTAAATCTACCTACGAAAAGGAATTAATGGCTCTTGTGATGGCGGCCGTATCTCATAGGTCGTCGTTTCATAGTACGGACCGACTACCGGAGTCTACGTTATTTATTGCAACAGTGTATCTCCACTCCGTCACAACAGAATTGGGTTGCTAAATTACTTGGTTATGATTTTGAAGTAGTTTATAAGCCAGGCTCCACTAATTGCGTAGCAGACGCCTTGTCACGTAGTCATGATGACTTGCAACTTTCCGCTATATCCATCCCGGTGTGGTTGGATTGGGGTGCTCTCGAGTCTGCTATTTTGGCGGATTCAACGCTTCAACCACTCATTGCCCGATTGCATCAGGATCCTGATGGCTGCCCCCCGTACAAATTGATTAATGGTCGCCTATTCTATAAGGGTCGTATTGTGCTTCCTTCTAATTCAACGTGGACCTCTCGACTCCTCGAGGAGTTCCATTCCACTCCAATAGGGGGGCATTCAGGTGCATACCGCACGTATCGACGACTTGCTGCAAGTGTTTATTGGAAAGGTATGATGCGCCATGTCCAAAAATTTGTGGCGGACTGTCTAGTTTGTCAGAAGAACAAATATGAAAACTTGTCCCCAGCTGGCCTGCTCCAACCTCTCCCTATTCCGACGGCGGTTTGGGAAGTCATTTCAATGGACTTCATTACAGGTTTGCCACGATCTAGTGGGCTCGATTGCATTTGGGTGGTGGTTGACAGGTTTTCCAAATATGCCCATTTTCTTGGACTTCGACATCCGTTCACCGCTAGATCTCTAGCTGATCATTTTGCAAAGGAAATCGTCCGCCTTCATGGCGTGCCCAATTCGATTGTAAGTGACAGAGACCCAATATTTTTAAGCCACTTTTGGACTGAGTACTTTGCTAAGATGGGGACAAGTATTAAAATGAGCAGTGCTTATCACCCCCAAACCGACGGACAAACCGAAGTGCTCAACCGTTGTCTTGAGCAATACCTTCGTTGTTTTGCTTCCGAACAACCCCAACAATGGGGCAAGTGTCTTCACTGGGCAGAATACTGGTACAATACTTCCTTTCAAGGAGCGGCTCAACGGACTCCCTTTGAGATTGTGTATGGCAGGACATCTCCAACCTTGCAACAATATTTACCTGGTGAGTTTCGGGTGGCAGCAGTGGCCGATGCTCACTCTGATCGCAATGAATTACTTCGTCAGCTTCGTTTCAATTTGGAGAAAGCTCAACATCGCATGACAAAAGTTGCAAACCGTACAAGGCGTGTTGAGTTTAATGTGGGTGATAGTGTCCTTCTCAAGCTTCGCCCTCACAAGCAAAACACTCTTCTCAACAGATTGAACCAAAAGTTAGGCCCTCGATACTATGGTCCTTTCTTGATTTTGCAAAAGTTGAGTGCAGTTGCTTACAAGCTTCAGCTTCCGCCTACCTCAAAGATTCATCCGGTCTTTCATATTTCACAACTTAAGCCGGTGAAAGGTCACCATCCTGTTATCTAGGATATCCCTGACGAGCTTCAAGTGGAGGAGGCCGGCTACCAACCATATGACATATTAGCGGTTCGTCGCTACTGGTACCACACCACAAGTATTGGTCCAATGGGAGGGACGCACCACTGATGACGCCATGTGGTTGGATCTCTCAGATTTCAAAGGGCAGTTTCCTAATTCTAGCCTTGTGAAAAAGGCTATTTCTCTGGCGGGTGGTAAGGATAGAGATGCCAAAAATAGGGTTGTCTACTCAAGGAAAGGGAAAGCTGGAAAGGAATAAATGAGATATGGGAATAAAATCAGCAATGCAATATGGGAATCATGAATTAGGGGATTTAGATAGATTCTTGGAGAGAATGGAAAGCTATCAATTAGTTATCTTACCTTATAATTATTATCTATTACCTTATATGAATAATAGCAATAATCTTATTAAAGGGAGTTAGGAAGTGAGAATGAGACATCAGGAAAAAATAATCTTAATAGCTAGGCTATTAGGCAAGTTGTCTTGCTGGGAAGTTTTATACTTCTGATCATTGTTCTCTCTTTCGTTTATAATAAAGTTGTCTATTCATTCCCCTTTTTTTAATTCTTTGATTCTCTGATCCTTTACTCCTATCAGTAACTTGTCAAGTGTCTTTAACTAGATTCGAGAATAAATCTATTGGGGAATTATCAGTGTTTCTTTGATATTTGTTGGTTTCTTGCTCGAGTTTATCATAGTGTAATTGTCTCAAAAATGATCCTTAATTCTGAATGTGATATTGTGCCCTCTGTGTGTCCGTCTGTCTGTACACATACATTCACTGTTTAATGTTGTGCCTATTCTGGTATACCTTTAGTATGTGGCTCCTGTTTCTTACATTGCATCTATCAAATGTTAGTTAATGGTTTCTATTTGTCCTTGGTCGAGCATGGTGCTCATTAGAATTTTCAACAACTGTGGGACTTAATAAAATCCGTGAGGATGCAGGTTCTTTGAGATCTATTACAACTAGTGCTGTTAAATTAAACGAGCATGGCTCGGCTCGGCTCGGCTCGGCTCGATAAGGCTCGAAAAGAGAATTTTTATATAATTTTCTATATGTTAAAGCTCGAGATCGGCTCGAATGCAGCTTGTTATTAGTGATAAACGAGCCGAGCTCGAGTTTAGGCTCGTTTATTTAACGAGTCGAGATCGCCTCGGCTCGTTAAGGGCTCAAGCTCGAGGACATTTGAGATTATGGTTTCTGTCATGTAAAATGTTCCGTATTCTAACTAATTATCGTGAATGAAATATATGCATGTCTAGCCTATGAGATTGTAATGAGGCAAACTTTTCTACCAAGGAGAGTTTCGGAAGACCAGTCTCGGGTCCGTAACTTAAGAAGGGGTGATTAAAAGAGTGCATTTTAATCATGGTGTCTGTTATCATTCTTGTGATAGAATGATTTATTATGTTTGGTCTCGAATTTCAGGGGAAGGCAATGGACAGGAGAATATATTGTGGAATTTCGAGATTTGATTGCTTCATCTCCTTTAGCATGGGAACAACAGTCTGATGAGGCACGGTTTTCTTTCATTCAGGGTAGTTATGTTGAACATTTGGATCTACAAGGTACTTCAATTTATTTTCCTTCATATTTATATTTGTGTCAACTTCATTTCCAAATAATAATACATCTCTTTCTGGCCCTTCTTTTTCTTCAAATAATTAAACATCTCTCTCTCTCTCTCTCAAGATGAAGAGGAGAAGGATGAAATCCTTGCGCTGGTGAACACCACAGAAAAAGCCGTGCAATTGAGGAGTGAGGATAACAAGAGTGTAGCCAAAACTGGGGCCGAATATCTTATGAGCCGATCGTATCAAGGTCTGGACATTAGTGGGACCGATTCTCTTCCGGGGAAATTTTTTACTGGGAGAAGTGGGAAGGCATCAGGGTACAAGAACGAGAATACAAGGTGACTCGTATTTTTCGAAACCTGAGAAATGGCTTTCTGTTCTTGAATTTGCAATATAGTTTCAACTTTAAGGGGATTTATCATGGAGAACCAGATTACTTGCACTTGCTGTCACTGCCTCTACCTTTTTCCAATCCAATATTTTTCAACTAGGACTGGATGTTGAACCGGATAAATGATTGGGTCACTGGTCGGAATAGTTGAACAATTTATTTTTAGAGAAACCTATACATACATACTTATATGATGTAATTTTTTTTTTTTTTTGAAATTATATTTTTCTCTAAATTTGTATACTCAAGCTTTGTTAAGAGTACTAGTTTGTATTATTTATTATTTAGAGCAATGAGTAGCACAAACTTGTAGTATCATAACTCATAAGGTTTTACGGGATGTACTGTCACAAAATGCAAGAAACAAAAATACCCAAAGGGAATGAAACAAAAAAAAGGAATCATCAAAATAAGGGAAAATGAAGAACCTATCTCACCACCTAATTGGTCCGACGCTAGTCGTANT